CTATACAATCGAGGGTGAAAACATAACAGCGCATATACAAGTAGTCCCTAACCGGTGTTTATTGTCAGTTTAACACCAGTTTTTTTTCTTCTTTGTCTATAGTGACAAAATCACGTGAGTGTTAGAATTGTATAAAACTGCTTCTATTTTAAATCAGTGTATTTTAAGCACAATATATCCTAATCGTGTGAATACATGTCTAAAAAAATATCTTATCTATGATTTAAATTCTGCACCGTGTCCGATGTTGTTACATTTAATACTTGAAGAAGACAGCGACAATTTTCCTGTATATATATGCTACATAATATGTAAGTAATTAAATGCAAGTATTTATGTCTTCTATACCAATAAAATTTTGTTTTTACGCATCTTTTGTTGTTCATACTTAGTAACTCGTGACCATGACTTAGTAACTCGTGGCCACGACATAGCATCTCGTTTCCACAACTTAATTATCTCGTGCACACGACTAAGTAACTCGTTGCCACAACATAGTACACGTATCTCGTGGCCACGACATAGTATCTCGTTCCTAAGACTTAATCATCTCGTAGCCACGACAGAGTTACTGATGGCCACGACCTAGTTTCTCCTGTACACGACTGAACTATCTCGTTACCACGACTTAGCAACTCGTGCCCATGGTATCTCTCGCGTAAGAGATAAACAAAAACACACAGGCATGTCACCTTTGTGCCACCGCATATTTCAGCCAATTGTTTAAACACCAGATTTATTTTTGGATTCGTTTTTGTATTGATTAAGTAGGTCTACAATACAGCATTATAAAGTCCATTGTCCGAACCCAATTAATTTGCTCTTGTGCTGTCCGCGTGGCATGGTCGTTTTCGTAACCGGCTATTGCTGTTTTTGTTTTAAAGTGTATAAATTTTCAGAACAAACACCATTGTTTCGAATCAACCGTTTACACAACACTTGTCTCATCCCTTTTCGGATTCCATTCTATACATGTTTGATGGGTCTTTCTTACACACTTTAAGGCCCAAAGCCTTAATCCGTGAGATTTCCGCGTCGCATGGTCGTTTTCTGGGATGGCGATTTGCTGTTTCTATATGTTAAAACATCACAGTCTGATTCCGATGCGGATTCATTTTTTAATATTTTGGAGGACCAAAGTCCTTAAGCAAGCAATATGTCCGGAAGATTTCCGCTCGGCATGGTTCTTTTCAGACCGGCGCTTCGTTTTTTCACTATTACCGAAAGTTACTTGAAAATTTTCGAAAGTAACATCATGTCATGGACACAAACTCCCTTCTGAAAATGAGATTAACATTATTCCGATTGATCTTATAACATAATTAAAATGTAATTGAATGGTGTGAGACAACAATCCGCCTAAGAGCACGTTATGACAGGAATTGACGTCATTCGATTTTGTACATGTTTGAAGGGTCTTTCATACACATTTAAAAGCCCAAAGGCATTATCCAATCAATATGTCCGTAAGAATTTCGCGTGGATGGTCGTTGTCTGGGACTACGATTTGTTCTTTCTGTATATTAATATAATTATCTTTAAAAAATCTTAATTTTCTCGGGTCAATCGTTAAAACATCATTTGCCTGATTCCGATGCGGATTCGTTCGTTGATTAGTTTGGTTTGGCGGACCCTTAAAAAGCAATAGGTCTGGCAGATTTCCGCGTGGCATGGTTCTTTTTTTTGAACGGATATTTTTTATTTTCTTTATAACGGTAGAGCGTTTGAAAATTTCGAAAGGAACATCATGGCATGGAGAGGAAACACCTTCTGAAAATTAGATTAACATTTTCCCGATCGATCACGATGCAGTTGGCATACAACTTTATGAAAATGTAATTAATTGGTGTGTGACAAAAAAGCGCCTAAGTGCACGTCCTTACAGGAATCGACGTCATACACAGTAACCTTTTGTAAAATGAACGCTACCTAATCCTGCCGAAAATTGATTCAGTTTGCACGACCTCCTTCACAACAAAATAATGCTCTGAGTTCTAACGAAAAGATAAGGAAAAGTCCAGCATAAAATTGACGTTTGTTTGACAGGCGATTATTTCTTTCAGTACATTGAGAATTAGACCTAAAATACAATATTCTACAGTTAACAGACCATTTGTTTGATTCCTTTGCAGATTCGATTTTATAATAGTTTGAAGGTTTTTTTTTTACAATATAAGGCAAAAAGCCTTAACCTAAAGATTATGTCCATGAGATTTTCGCGTGGCAATGTTTTTTTCTAGACCAACGATATGTTCTGTCTGTATATAAAGTGTATATATTTCTGGAAATAACACAATTTCCTCAAGCCAACCGCTGTTACCACATTTGATTGATTCTGTTGCAGATTCGATTTTGTGCTTGTATGGAGGGTCTTTCTTACAGAATATGAGGCAAAAATCCCTAATCGAAGAAATAAGATTTTGCGTGATTTTCTCATTATTTTGACCGTCGATTTGTTCTTTCTGTAAATAAATCGTCTTAAAAAGCACCATCTTCGCAAGCCAACCATTTAAACACAATTTGTCTCATTGATTCCCTTTTCAGATTCGAGTTTGTATAAGTTTGGAGTGTCTTTCTTACACATTATAAAGCCCGTGCCCTAACCTATCAATACAACAACAGTTGCTGTTGGAAATCGATTCATTTAGCCAGTAGTGATTCCTGTTAATATCGCAGAATATTATACTTCCCCTACTGGAGTGAAGATTGGTATCTTAGCTAGACTAGATTAGTCGACTTGTTTGATAACAAGGTTATATGTGATACATACTTATATTATACATGAATACAAACAAAGCCATTTGATTACTGCACAGGGCTAAGTTGGTCGCCAAATGTCGTCAGGTATAAGAAACAAATGTTTTAATATCCATCCCTGGTATAGATTGATTTCTGATGTTTAAATATGCAGTATTCATTAAATGATTGGAATGCATTAACTACTATCATGGTATGATCAGTGAAATGTAACACACTTTAACAGAATACAGATGGAGATACTTACATCTGAAAAAAATCCATCGACAGCTGGAAATTTAAGTTCCATATTCCCAATGAAATATTTATTATAATTTTATATCATTAATGTATTGGAAATAATATCCTTTTTTAAAATAGGTCTTGGTAAAAAAAATCTGAAAACAAAGTGATCCCTCGGAAGCATTAATCACAACAAAATTACATGAAAATTGCAGAATCGGTTTGATTGAGTCTGTTGTAATACGAATTTATTTCAGAATTTTTTGAAGAATGAATTGTAATTGTTTTTGGTATCAAAGTATTTTCCTTTTTGTTTTTTGTCTTTTTCAGGTTGTTTGAGCTTTCTTTTGTTTCTATGTTTAACCGATACGACAATGGCGATGCAACAATTTTTCGACATTTTTTAAGAAAGGGGAAATATGTCATGAGGTACAACAATATATATGTTTTTATTTCATGTATGCCTTACCAATACCTGAATAGCGGACACTCAATTTATTCACAGTGTGAATTAAATTATGCTGCGTTAATTTACTTAAATATAATTCGAACACCTGAATGAAGTAATCAGTCTATATAGTAGTCGTAGTTATAGTAAGGATAACAGAAATTCGTCTTACTGTCTGCATTATGGTCGGTCTTTTACTTTATACGAGGGTTGTCCCAATATTCTGTGACAAGATTGATTAAAAGATAAATAAAACAGGTACGAATTTGATATTTTAATATGTTATAAACCCATATAATTTAAACATTTTCACAAATTTTCATAGATAAATATCAACAAACAACAAAAATATGCCATAAACACCATGGCAACTAACTGAATCGCGGCGCACGTCCAACGTCAAAGACGGCGTTAAATCTATATAAGGCGCCTTTCTCAAATACTCTCAATGGCTTTCAACGCAATAATGGTACTCATAAATCGTCAATTTCTGACTTAAATCATGTGGTTGTTAATGTCTGTTGAATGTTTGGATGGCATACATTAATTTTTGCTATACGCGAACTTCCGGTCTCGTTACTCCTGTTTTTACCTCTAGGAAATAGGCGACGAAGATCGGTCTTCCTATCCGTGTTTTCCTTATTTTCGCTTTTTGTAGCGCAAAACTCTGGTTCCGTTCATGCCTTTTATACACAAATGCTCAGAATATGTTGCTAAACTGTTATATTTGGTATATTTGTTGAAATTCGTTACATATGTCATCTCGAAATAGTCATGAAACCTGAGTGACATGTTCACTGCGCCGCAAATTCTTCGAACGTCGCCATTTTAACTTTCCTATTTTATATGAGATATTTTCATTTATTCGTATCTTTTTCGTTTTTTAAGTTATTTAACTAAAATTTTCAGAGATGATTTAAACATAGCAGCAGAGGAAGTCAACGTGACATTGTGCAGACACATTATCAGATATTTAAAATAAACGTAATTAATTTCAGCCTATTCATAACAAAATGTAAATTATTTGACGTGCGCCGGCAACTCAAACCAATATCGTTAATACTGAAAATTTCTAGTAACTAGGGTAATTGTTTTGTAAATGATTTGTTGTAATGTTAAATAATAAACTTAACGGTTATATGTGTGAATTATTTTCTATTGGCGTTAAAAATGAACCGGCTATAAAATTTGTCACGGACTTTTGGGACAACCCTCGTATGTCAAACATATTGTGTTTGACATACAGATCGGACTATACAAACGCATTAAATCAAAATTTTAAGATCGATAAAAGCAATGGAAAATATAATTATGTCTTGTTTTTAAATAAAAATATCAATTACATGCTATCTATTTTATAATCATCACATTTCGGGCATTTATTATTCAACAGAAAATGAAACGTTATAAAAATCTTTTTGCGCAGAAGTTTTGGGTTGGCCAACATGTCAAGTGTTCCCTATTTAAAATAGTTTGCATTTTATATGAATCTGTTTCTGTTTTGGAATAATGTTTAATAATTCATTTGAATACTGACGCAGACATGTCGTTATGTATCTACATTGAACAATGATTCAGTATTTGCCACAGACAATTTCCATTACATTCAACTCCAGCATTGCACTTGTCTGGAATACCTTTTGATGAAGATGTGATTTTTAAACTGTTGAAATGTTTTTGAGAATGATGAAATACGAGTTTATTTTATTGCTTGTTTTTAAAACAGTTATTGCTGTTACAGTAAAAAATGTGAAAATTAACAATTTTGAATTAGAGTTTTCTGTGACTTACGAAAATTGGTGTAAATCTGACAAAGACAGATTTCAGTTTATAATTGGTATATCTATCGAACAATGTGTGACAGAATGTGGTGCACGGGGCCACTGCAGTTCTCTTAACTATAGAAATCAAATAAACGGTTGTGAGCTTTTCCTTACTTCCGAAACGGAGCAGCGAGTTCCCGGCGAGTGTGTCTATGTTAAAAAAGACAACATCAAAGTGACGAAGGTATGTTATATTTTATATTTCTTTAGTAACCGTATTCTTATATTTTTTTCTTCACTATCTGTTACTCAGCATAAAATTACAAAACCATATATTCACTCGTTTTCAATACAGGGATCACGTCTAAAATGCAAACATTAATAAATGCTAACGCTTATAATTCACAGAATACATATTTATTATCATTTTTTCAAACTTCGCAAAAACACATGCAATCTCAAATTTAATAATAATCAAATGAGTTCTGCTTAAATACTGAGTACTGACTTATTTCAAATCTGCGACTGCGAGATCAAGATGACGGTCGATAATTTGTTTGATGCTAAAGTGATAAAACTTTCATTTATTTTACCACTTGAAATGTCTGAAAATTATGCCCATATAACAAAGTACTCTAGTACATAAATTGTGAATGTATTCATAAAATAAAAAGTGTCTGCGAAAAATATCTTGTTCTGTCAGTCATTTGCTTGATAACTTTTGGTGCCATGTTGAGAAACATTTTAAATATGATTGGGATGAAATAAATTGCAGTTAATTTTTTTTTTCAAAACTATAAATATACTCCTTTGAAACGTTCTCGTGAAATCTCAAGTTCCTCGATCGGACAATAATTAGTGATATTTACAAATACGTTATTAAGCTTATCAACAAACTTTTTTGTAAGCTCTGATACAACCGTTTGCCTGTGGCTTCTTTAATGGGAAATCTTAAATACTTCTTCAGAAAGGCCAAACGTGAATTTTATAATGTTTAAATAATGATATAAGAAAAATGTAATATTTTTGTTACCTGAATAAAGGAGCTATAAGTGTGAAATAATTTGTCATAAAAGTAGCAAAATGTAAACAATGTAGTTTTGTACTTCCATATAAAGTTTTAATTCACTATAACTGTACTCATTGCCAAAAAGCATCAGATGAATAAGATAGTTTAATTTATTGGCCAATGAGTATTTTCTGGATACTTTAGAATTACACCAAAAATAATTAAAAAGCTTTTAAGAAATACAAATAAAAGCCTAAATTATCTTTACAATCTCGGAAGGAAAGACAGTTCGACACCCCACCATCACCTCTAGGAACCCAGTGAGAATTTCCGCTCTTAATCTGTGACCACTTACCTAGTTTAAGATTTTCCAGGATTTATACCCTTGCCTTTGTCAAGAATCATCATATTTCTATGAAATGTGAAATAAAAAACGTGAAAAAAATAAATTAGCTAAAATGAATGAAGTAAATGAAAGGTGTACATTTTTTTATTAATTGATACAAATTCTTTATTAAATGAAAATTCTTCACTTACTGGTCAAGATCATTTAAAATCTCTATTGATTTTAACATCTTTCAGGACACATCTTTTGCACATGTTTTGCGCCTATTTAATATCTTGATTTTATTTACCGTTGACTATAATATATTATTAAAAACATAATGAAAATCATTTCTGTTGATTGAATTTTTATCACCCCAAAGTGCGGTCGTTTGTCTGATGATAAAATGCATATGTACCTGTTAAACGCACTTTGGGGTCAAAATTGGACCCCTAAGAGAGTGACGCACTTTGGGGTCGGACACCAAAGTACGTAAAGCATTCTGGGGTCGGACCCCAAAGTGCGGTGTTACAGAGCCCGTTACTTTGCTTTTTTAAATATTGTCGCGCGGAGCCAAAAATGTATTTTGATTTAGTGTCATGAAACTTTTCAGAAATTTTAGTCAGAATGAATAGATGTGCTGCTATCCTGTTGTATGTCAGTAGACATTTAAATGTGGGGCCTTCGTGTCCTATGGACACCTTTCTAACTATTTTTAAAATTTGTTGAAGAATATACAAATACATGTTTTTAAACTTTCCCTTAACTTTTCGATATAACTGTAAAGAAAAGACGGTTTTCTTAACCTTGTTTTCTAAATAAAAGGCTTTAGAACTTCTCAACGAGCATAATGTAAAATAACCTTCATTTGATAACTTTCAAAACACATGCTTTAAATAAAACGTTGCTAAGTATACTTTTTAATGTTATGAATTTGTCTGAATTCAGAGTCCTTGTCAAGAAGTTTGTGCTTACGGGCAGGTATGTGAATCAACAAATTCCAAAAAGGGAATGTGTAACATAAAAGGTAAAGATTTATCATAACACGATTTTTATACAAATTTAATTTCTATTGTTTCCCTCTTGAAACTGATGGGTTGCTTTAAAGGGTTGAACTTCAGAATTACACCCTCGTTTAATCCTGCTTAATCGTAATAGACGAGTGGATAGGTTCGAATTACTGGAGTATATGCATCTCTTAGCTTCAGCAGATGAGGGAGTTTTAACCCATTGTGTTGCTGTAACGTTGTTACATCCGAGGTAAGCGTAAATCATTATTTTTATTTCGGCGCTATATAGCCTATTGTAAATTGCGTCGTGAAACGAAACAAAACAAACAAACGCACAAATGTTCATTGTTTCTGTTGATCACTGAGTTAGCTATTGTAGTAGTGTTGCTATTTTGAAAAAAAAAAGTTAATATATATGGTAGAGTATTTTATTTGGTGAATAAAAAATATTAAAATATATAAGAGCTGACAGTTAGGTGATGCACCTCTTTAAAGAAATCTGCGTGACAAACTATCGAAATTAAATAGAAATGAATGAAAGTCATTTATAATGCACATGAATCAGATGAAAACTCTCCGAATTTAGTTTCATAAACGTGGAAATTGTGATTTACAAACCTGATAAACTTGTTAATCGAGCTTACGGTGCTCACTATCGGTATGTAATTCTAGTATGTCACATGGTAAAAATCGAGATATCAACATTATCATCTGTTTGTGTATTTTGCAATATTCTTACATTAAACCAAGTCAGTTTATTATGGTGACCCTTACAGTCCATTTTAAATCTGTGAGAACTTGCGCCGTCATTTAATAAAATGTCGCGGTTCGCGAGATTGTATGTCGAAATTTTATAAAATGTCGCGGCTTATAGAAACTATTTTTTTCTGTCTCACTCTCCCGTCAAAACGGAGAACGAAGAAAAGCGTGACACATTCTGTAAATAGCAGACTGAGCTACAAAAAACATATAAATACTTTAGGTAGTCAATTGCGCCCATTAAAATCCGCGATATTTTCGTTTGATGCATACCTTGTAAAAAGCTGTGTTTAAGCATAAGGCCGCGACTTAGGCAAAGAAATGACTCTGGCTATTACTCGCCGCGATATGTTGTGAGACCGTTGCTGAGGAACAACATGGCGCGGGCTATAATTATACCTCTCAAATTATTTGTTGTGTTTTTATTCATTTTTTATTTTACAATAAGTTTTATTGTAAGTTTCTTTGAATTCATATATACAATCAATTTAAATTACATTTTACTTCATACGTTCTTGTTTTTTATGACTTAAGAGTGTATCAAAACCAAGGCCCCTATTAATGGTACAGTTCTTGGGAATCTAAGGGGAGTTGGAGACAAGATTCGTTACATGTGTAATCCCGGATACGAACCAAAGAACGACGGCCAAGAACCTGTAGCTATATGTCTTGACAACGGACAATGGAGCCATGTAACAGAATGTGTAAAAAGTAAGAATTTACATTATCATACGTTCCTAGTAAGTAACACTTTTGACCCGTGAGCACTGATAATATTGATGTTAGATATTCTGGTGACCGGTACTTTTCTTTTATAATTATATTTCATGCACATTGAAAATGAATTTCATATTTAGAATGAAATAATATCGAGGGTTTTATTTTATTAAATAATAATTTTGTTTGTGCTTTAAAACAATATAAAATACAAAGGATAGAAATCAAAACTTTAGAAATAACATTTTAAATGATGAGAATTGTATAAAGAGAAGTATGTGGCGTCTATTATGAACACATTCTATAGTAAACTCGTCGTATATTATAAAGGGTTAGTTTTATATCATTTTTATTTAGTACAGTAATAATGAAATTTAATTTAAAACCTGATTAAATTTACAATCATCTGTGCTTCGGTTTAAAGCTAACTATACTTGGGTGGCTTCATGGTCACCATGGAGCACATGCAGTTTAAGTTGTGGGTCCGGAAGAAAATCAAGAACGAGGGAGTGCTCTCTTCGCATAAAAGGCAACGGTGCATCTAATTGTGATAAAGGGGATGTTGATGTTGATAATAGTACTTGTAATAACCAATCCTGCCCTAGTAAGTAATAGCTTTTGATATTTAATATTTCATTCCTTTATACTGTACAATCATCATCAGGAATGTTTGTATGTTTTGTTCGTTTCTTTCTCCTTCTTCTTCCTTTTTTTTAAATTTGTATCTTGAGAGCGTCTAGTGATACATGTACACAGGCTAAATAACACTTATTTATTTTGTAACAATTTGCCTTTAAAGTTTCATCTGATATTATTGTTATTGTTGTTATTGGTTTTAAGATTCTTCTGATCTTACTCTAGAAGATATATTGATACATTTCTGGATTATAGGAAAGCTTCCTTACTAGCGATTGGTTAATTGATTTCTGCGTTAATAGTATCGATATACAGTCCTTCCTTGGGGGAGAAGAGATTTCGAGATGAATTAGAAAACATCATAAAAATAATATGGCCTCGGGTGTTATCATAGCTATGGAAATTAACTTAGAAATGACTTTGTAGTGTTTGTTTAACTCCCTTCATGTTACACATGCGTATTATCCTCCTTATATGATCCATACGTTACCGTCTGAGGTATAGTTCTGCATAGCATTTACAGACCCGGGTGGCGGTTTAAAGACCAAGGAGCGTATCGACCGAGTTTTTTTTAGGCCATCCGAGTCTTAAAATGCGTTGCAGTGAGGTAACTATCTGAAGTACATACTCTTTTGTTTTTTCTTATATCAGCATTTATTCATATTAATCACATTGTACCTGTACTTTATGAACTTTTTCATCAATCCGAACGTCCTTGGCTGCTCATATATCAAATAAGCTTTGAAACTAAGAACTTCAATTTTGAATTCTCAATACTAATTAATCCTCTAAGGAAGTTGATGCCTTTTAATTGACATGTTAACTTTATATCAATTATTAACACTCGTCATACAAATATTTAATGCGATTATGTTGTAAAAATGTATTTATTGCATGTTAATTTGTATAATTCTAGACAATAAAATTTCTTTACTGTTCTGTTATATCGGATACATTTTACAAACTACTAAATTTCTTCAAACATTTGCATAATACTTTCTGATTTATTTTTGCACAATCCTAAGTTATTTTCTGCATTACGGGATATAAATTGTGATATCTGGTGCGCATCGAATCAAAGTTTGAAAAATCGCCACATTTCCTTCCGAAAATATTACGTTTAGTAACAGTATAGTTTGTTTTTCGTATAAGGCATTTTCTCTCAAAATTGCTTTAGTTTTTTACCATTAAATATTATAATTTGGATAGTACCAGAAATCACCTCTGATAATCAATTTCCGAAGTTATTAACTGTTTACAAAGAATATATTTACATGTGTTTACATAATATTACATTTGAAAACAACGAGACTGGAATTTTCTGACAAATGCATACTTAAACATAGATTCTTATCCTAAAACTGGAGTATTTGTTTTTTTGGGTATATATATATGTGTGTGTGTGTGTGTGTGTAATACTCTTACCTTTTGCCATGTTTATAATATAAGTACTTTAAAAAAGAAAGAAAACAACAACGAGAACAACAAAGAAAACGTACAATAAAGCAATTATAAAGTTTATCTACATTTACTAGAATTTGTTCATAGAAACATGTCACGTATTTCCCATTGAATATAAATGATTATTTGATATTTTAAAAATAAACCTGATTACATTTTGACTAGTATTTTACTATAGGATAAAGTATTCCATATTTAGGATAAACAAACTTATTTTGTTATAGTACACATTTGTCAACAAATTTATATCAAGAACTTTAAAGTATATCTTCCTGACCTTATTTCGTAATGAAACTCTACGTTTCAAATAACACCTACGAATGACACAGCGTACCGGTTGGTATCTTTGAGTGGCTTAAGAATGTTTTTTGTTTTTTTAAAACATGATAAAGTTCATAAATCATAGGTATATTGAGATTGATATTGATACATGCTGAGTCAAAACATGATGTTTGGGTAGAAAAAAAAAACAATGGAGCATGTAGGTAAGATAGTTACCGTCTGCATAGTATTTACAGACTCGGTAGGCCTTTTTTAAAATTTATTCGCTACGTTCTCTCGGTCTTCAGAGAACCATCCGCGTCTGTAAATTCTATGCAGACCTTATTCCTCGTACAGTCACTATTACCTCCTTCAAATTACACGACACTGCCTCAGTGAAGATTTGACACATTTGCAGATGAGTTCTATTCGCGCATGAATGAAAAATCCGTTAATAAACATGAACAATAAAACCAACCCGGAAATAATTACAATTTTGACAGGCTGTGGGAATAGTTAAAATTTCCATTGTTGACTGTTTATCTTTGTAATGTATATATATGATTTTTTTATGAACTTATATTACAAATATGTCTAAATGTTGCTTAACTTTTTTTACAAGTGTGTGGAATTTCATACAAGGAGATGCAACTTTGTAAATATCTTGTTCTATAGAATATGTCTAATTTATATTTAAACTGTATTATAATATTTCTAAGCACCGACACATGGGAAGAATTGCTCAAGTAAAACAGACTGTATAGAAACAGAGGCTGTGTGCATACAAGGAATATGTTTCTGTGATAAGCTATTTGCATACAACAACGAAAGTAATAACTGCACAAAAGGTAATACATGTATATGATTAAAGTTACCATTATACTACAATAGACATATTGTTTAAGTTTAATTGCATATCGTATTGCTTCAGATACCAGTATGCAAACTAGTAAGTGTATAACACAACCTTTAACTTTAAAATAACACGTTACAATATTAGGTTAAACTTTTCCAAGGACTTTTGTCAAATTGAGTCTGAGATATTATCATTATTAAAGGCCCATTTAGGCTCCAACATGCTAATATTTTTTTATTTATTTTCCAAACCGTTTTTAATTTTAGTGTCTTGTTACAGTTTCGATAATATTACTAGTTGGCAGTATTGCTGAGCCATCATTTGCATTTTAACAGCAGTACAGTGTTAAAGCATTTTGTATGGAAGCGAAATTTTATCTTATTTAGAGTTTACATATTACTTCATTCAGTAAAGTTTTAAGGTGATAAGAATCATTCAAAATTTTATTGCATCATTTTAAAGCATATATGTCTGTTGTTGTCCTTTTCAACCGAAAGACAAAAAATGCAATTTTTGAGTTTTCATGTACCCTTAAAGTTAAACAATTATATATTTTTAAATAGGGTCAGTCAGCTGTAAAACGTTGCCCCGTAAGACCTTTAATAGTTAAAAATTGAGTACCAATCAAGCCGGTGCTAGGGGCGTGAGGGATGTTGCACCTTTTCATTATCCCTCACGTAGAGACTCAATCAAACCGAAAATGCAATGTTCATGACATTTTGTTATGATTACTGCTTCCGAAGATTTTCCAAGATTTTTCTTTTAAAATGATTGTGTGTGCTTTGTTTTTACAAAGATACTATTATAGTTATGTGAAAACTTCCAAAAATAGTTGATTCCAATAGTCTTGGATATGCCTACATTTTCTAAAGCTGGTAAAGCTTACTTTCCTTATTTAAGTTTAAACTTTCTATGCTATAAGTATTCTGTATATTTGCCAATGAAATGTATAAATACTATATATTAGAAATCATTTTAAATTTCAGTATGCGACACTTTGACAGGCAACTATAGTAAAATCAACAACACAGCAATTTTAGGTTTTAACAGTGGTAACGATACGGTGCGTAACAGCTTGGAAGAATGTGAAAAAGCCTGCAATTACGACCAGTCTTGCTTATCCTTCGAAATATGGCTCGAAGAAGGGCAACCACCGAATGAGGTTAAATTTGGATGTACAATAGGATTAGCAACATATGATATGATCAATTCGGCGGCTCCCACACTGCTCAATAATAATATAACCGGTTGTGATCTGTATTCCAAAACATGTTCCTGACTAATATGTATAGATAAATAAAATAAAACATGAAAAGAGAGTATCTAAAAAACGAAATAAAGTTTATGTGGTTTGAATTAAAACTTTATGTAAAACAAATACCTGGTATGTAGTTATAGGTTACTCATATATCAAGTGGTACAAATTCAAACGACAGCAATTGAATATAAGCTTAATTTTATAAAATTCAAATATTTTCAACTTAACTCCATTGAAGTCCAAAAGCCTAAAACATAAAATTTGAATTCTGTAATATACATAAGCTGGGACAATTAAAACAGAACAAAACGCAAAAGATAATTAAGAATTTTGCTCAGAAATAAATTGAAAATCGTACTTTTGCCATTCCTAGCTCGATTAAGGTGAAAGCTTAGAAACGCTTTTAAATTTCGGGTCATTTGTTACAATTAGAATAATTATTCAGCGAAAAGGTTTTGATCTGAAATTTTGCACACAAGGTATTGGTCTTACCCTATATCAAATGAAACATTAATCTTTAAAAATTATTTCCAGCCCCTTCATGTCAAAAAAATCAGTGGAGTCCCTGTAGTGTGCATTTAGTTTACACTTAACTACATACAGGATATACTAAACTACTTAGATATAGCTTTAATTGGCAAAATATCTGATTACAGACATAATGTGTGAGAAAATCTGCTGCTATGCACAATTATAGTTATGTTTGCTAAATACTGAAAAAGGTCAAGTTTTACATCATTTTGTAATTGATAATGTGTTGCATCAATTGTTATCAAAAAGATATATGCAGTCTGAAAGACGATAAGTGTTCCCATCAAGGTCCTGAATTAAATATTGAATTGAATTGGTACATGCCGAGCTGTTCATTAGGGCGTCATAGGACACATTGTTAAGGTCGTTGACTTCAAACTACTTGCCTCTCACTACTGCGGGTTCGAACCCTGCAAATGACATTTGATTCTTCATTGTAAGGAAGCTATCCAGCAAGTCGTCATATGGTCTTTTAAAATGTTATTGCGACATAGTATTTCACCAAAACAAATAATGAAAAATAGATAAATCAATTAAAAAAAACAAAAAACGACAAATTAGTAAATCCCTAATAAATTTGTGTCTGTATTTTTAGACCTGCAAAAGGCTTTTGATTGAGTTGACAATGCAATTATTTTATATAAACTCAAACTTTAGCACTTTCACATCATTAAAACTGTTTCATTCGTATCTGTCTAAAAAGTCTAAAAATATACTAGTAGGTAGTAGACAAAGCTAAAGATTGCAAAAGCAATATCGCATGCTTTTTATAATGCATTCCTTTTTTCCTATTTTTGAGTATTGTTGTAAAATATGGGGGAAAGAAACGAAAAATATATATGCCGAATATACAAAATACAAATTCGAATTTGCAAATTTAATCTAGACTTTCCAATAAGAAAACGAGCAGAAAATTTATCTAAAAGATTAAAAATATTGCCTTTCAAGGAAAGATGTATTTTTCACACCGGTGTCCAAGTATTTAAAACACTGAATCATACGTCCCCTCAGTATATCCGAGCCTTACTTACCATATCTAAAAATCAAAAGTATAATCTAAGATCAATATCTCATGGAAATGTAATTTTGCCCTACAAACCACGTACTAATTATTTCAATGACGCATATCAATTTAATACCATGTTTTTTTTTGGATTTCTATACCGTTGACTATTAGAAAGAAAACAAAATTGTCTATATTTAAGAACGTTTCAAGAAATACTTATATAATCAACTTCATACATATATTTTCATTATTAATTGTATTTCTTACTATAAAATGTTTTCTAATAATGGGTGTCTGTCTTAGATTTTAGTTTTTGACTGTGTTAATTTTGTAAGTTTTTTACTTTGTAAATTGCAGATCAAAATAATGCACTGAGGAAAGTTTTATGTTTAATGATAGTTATTGATAAAATGAATTGTATGAATGTTCAGTATGTTTGTTAAGATATATACTAAGATTTTGATTACCATTTAATAATTTCCTTTAAATGTTATATTGTTTTCGATTGATTTGAGCTCTTTTGACTCTGTGTGTGCGCGCTCGCATGCGCTCGTGCGTGTGTGCGTGCGCGTGTGCATGTGTGTGTTTAATTTAAAAGGCCGCATTGTAAATAAGGTGTTATAATCTGTATAATTATGTCTGTATGTGTTACCTTCTGTAAAAAAATTATTACTATTATTATTATTATAGTTTAGAGACTTTTCCGTTGTTAATGTGTCATAGTAAAATCGTAAACATATACATGCACAGTGCGTTAACTGTAGTGCAGGTATTAGTTACCCATAGAAATACATTTATCACATTCAGATGCTTGCTCACTGGTTACTTTTTTCTGGGGTTTCATATTGTGACAACACAAAACGTGTCTTTGTTTTTGCTTGTGATACTAAGGAGAATTATTATATGTAATTCATATGTTATTTATCTATTATCTCTTATGATAGAGAATAATTTCATGCAATTTATTAACATCAAATTAAGTCTAACAATAAGCCTGCTGGAGACACTCCGAGTGTAAATCAGATTACCGCGTGTTTTGATGTTCTGTCTATTGTTTGTTCAGCAGTTTTTTGTTAGAAGTTAGACGATTGGTGTTGATAAATTACATATAATTACATATATATTTGTTTTAAATTCATTAATAAAGGTTATAATATGCTCAAATTTGAAATTTCGAAAGACTGATAATTACAAAGCAGTCTCTTTTGAAATGTAAAATAATCACCTTGATTTTAACTCTACACACTTAAAAAACTGGCAGTTTTTACAAGCATTGACCAATTTAATTTGGCAAGAAATAGGGAATGCAGCTTCCAGAATATAGTTAATGTACTTACTTAATCAAATTAAACATATTCAGTGAGAATTTACTAGATTTCAATAAATATCTGCTATAGAACTATTTTACTCAGATATCAGCATAGTATAGCTTTAGTAATAATCATTCTTGTAAGAACTTATGAAAGTACATACGAAATTAGTCATTTTTATTATTCAATAGTAGGTAGGTAGTTAGAGAGGTATGCAGACAAGTAAGTAGGTAGTCAGACAGATATGTGGTTTAAAAGGCAGACAGGTAGGTAGGTAGGTAGGTATGTAGGTAGGCAAATAGGCAAACAAGTGGATAGTTAAGTAGGCAGAAAGGTAGAAAGGAAACAAAAGTTGATATTAAAAAGAAATTACTGAATTCACGAGTTCCACACGCTGTCATAACATCACATATTGGTGTTGGTTGGGAGCCTAGAATTGACAAAGACACAGTTTATTTGTGTTGCCCATGATCACATACGTAACTAGTCTGAATTCAATGTCATACAATATAGCTATTGATTCACTGATTTCGAATGAAAACTTAGAAATTGATTGTGCCCTTTGATACTGAAACACACTGCAATACATCTGTATTTTGTTTATACATCTGTATTTTGTTTATACATCTGTATTTTGTTTATACATCTGTATTTTGTTTCTCTTGTATTTTATTTCTCTCTACATTATGTGGACATGTAAGATCTGCTTATTTTGCTTTTTATGTATTGTAATCATTATGTTTGTGGACGAAGAGCTATGCTCAAGTCCGAAAAAAAAAAGAAATAAATATTCTGTTCTGTTCAAATCTTGATTATTTCTATAATATCGTGACTCACATGTGTACAGAAATTCCTCATGTTTTTTCAAAAAAAAAACAAAAAAAACATTTGCCAAGGTTTTGTAAAAACCATCTCTGAAAGAAGCGGATAAAAAATGATTCATCAAATTGTATGACAATTTGTATGCGCTAGCTTGGTACAGTGTTCCCAAAATCGGCGTTTACTCATATAAACTGAATCAATCACATGTTGTAGACTTATTTCCGAATTATATAACACGAAAAGGTAGGCACACTTCCCCAGTATACCGAATATCAAAAACAATGTGATGACACAATAACACAACCATGCCTTACATATACAAACTGGATCAATCACATGTTGTAGTCTTCATTTAATAATTATATAACACGAAAAGCCTGGCGCACTGGTCTGGTATATAGAATATTAAAAACAACGTGATGACGGTGCTTGTTTACTTTAAAGACAACAGATTACAAAAGTGTTGCAAGTTTTCCTTTTTTCTTTCTTTTTTTTTCGGAAAATAAAAAATCTATTCTTATAGATATAACAAATCTTGATATACAACCAAAACCATTAAAACACGAACTGCGTGTTCCGGTGTGACATGATCTGCTGTAATCAATATTGTTCCATAAAAAAGAGGTTGTCCTATTAAAATTTACATAGTAAGTGAGGAAAATATGCACATTGGTCAGAATGTTGTACGACTGAACTGACAAAAGACAAAGGAGAACATTGATAAGAATAACAGACCAAATGCACCGATTTGTTTGATTTGTGCATATCTAGTTCCAATACGTTCTAACCTAATTTAAATCAAAGTACCTCATCAACTGTTAATTTGAACGTCGAAACAAAGACCCATAAAATAGCAATGATTGCCTCATATATTAAGTATAAAACAGAACAGACATTGTTAGTATGACATCCAGACTTTATCTTATTCATACATTTGCCGATTAAAAAACAAAATTAATGATAAAAAGTTTGAACTTTGATGGGGAAAATAAACTAGAAGTTTTTTTGTATGATTTTTTGTTGTTGTTTATGATGTTTTTTCCATTTACTCTCATAAAAAAATGGTCCATAATAACCTACATGTAGTAAGATTATCTGCATTGTATTAGTTAAACAAACAAATACAACATTATGGCATGCATAGCTTTATTTCGCACATATCTAAATAAAAAAGAACAAATACAAAAAAAGAGTGTGAAAACAGAAATGAATATGTATGGTGCACATCCTGAAAGGTAAAATCCCGCGAGATAAAATGAATATATTATAATAGATGACAACATCTGATACGGTTTAATTCAATTATTCATGAGATGTTATACAAACTGCGATAACTTTTGTTAATGTATGAAAATGTGGGGCATTTGCTCTTTTATCACTTTCATCTCACAGAATGCATTACAGTCGAAATGAAATACAATAAATACAGTAAATTAATCACACTGAAATAACCACTATAAATTTACCTCTATTTTATGTTTAAAATAAACATAACATCAAAGTGGAATATTCAATTTGTATATGAATAATGTGAAACTTAACATTTATTCGGTCAATTCAATAAATTAATTAATAAAAAATGAAATTGTTTACCACATTTATTTTTGGTTATTCATCAGAGGGGTTTCATTTTGTTGTAAACTCTTTTTACTGTTCGTTTAATTGTTTTTCGTACTTTTACAGAAAATGAGATACATATACTATATTTATGAATATTTACAAGTAATTGTAATCCCCGGTGCTTTTTAATTAAATTTATTCATGAAATGTAATATAACCACATGGTCTGTGCTTATTTTTCGCAATGTATGCATTTGCTCTTTTTTTCATTTTGATCCCGCAATAGCTTTAACATAAAATATGCAATTATCGATATGCAGTTACCTTTATTTTATGTATAAAACGTAACATAAACCATATAAAAGCAAACGAACAAGCTATCTTTCATATAATCAAAGTGAAATATTTAAATTTGTAAATGATTGATGTGACACTAAATATCTATTCGTTCAATAAGTTATATTTTTAAATAATGTAATAGTTTATACACTGCTCTTTACTTAGGGGATATCAAAGTGTTCTTTTCAATCCTAAATAAAAGTGCATGTACTTGACTATCGTCGGTTACACACGATATATATTCCGTACTATTCCGTACAAATATACATTATCATCGTCTGTTACCCACGGTATACATTACGTACTATTCCATACGTAATGTAGTATTATTGGGGGAATACACAGTTTTCAAGGCTTCTCGACAAACTACTGACTGCGCCACAATCAAAACCTAACACATAAGTCTGTAATCACACGCCTAAAATAAATGCATTATTTCATATTTAACATATACGTATGTATCTAACAGCAAACAATTAAAAATACATGTACACCGTCTAGTTTTCTGGCACATAACTCTGTATTTTTTATCGTTTTGATCGCGAAAATCAACGACAAAAAGAGTGGATTATCCCTATTCGCAAAATAACAAAAATATATTAACGTCAAAAAATTAAAACACAAGCTATAGTGTTTCTTCCTTCTTCTGCATACCCTCTAAATTGAAGGGCTGATTTCCGAGTTGGCTTTATGTGTCATACATCCGAATCTGACAGGTACTCCCCAAAATGTACGGGTCAAACACCACTAAAATCAAGTTTACTTGATAACGAAACACAGAAACGAGCCACTGAAACTTAAAATATAGCAACTCTAAATATTTAGAAGCTCAAATATCCACTTCAATTACAAAATGGTCTCTTATTTGTAATTGAGGTAAACAACCGAGACTGTGTTTTGCCTCCTATGTACGGTATATATACCGTGGATAACCGACGATAGGTCATGCAGTATGCACGGAATATACCTTGGGAAAGCGACGATAAATAATGTAGTATGTACGGATTATATACCGTGGTTAACCGACGTTAGATGATGTATGTATGTAGTCGAAGCTTAATGAGGGTCCGACCGCCCGTATGGACACAAAATGCAGCTTTCCCTGTCGAGTACGGACCCCGGACATGTCACCAGTCATACCATTAAAGAGCTAATTTTGAAGCATAAAGTGGTGATTATTTACCTCCTTGCAATTTCCACGTAGTATTAGCCAAATATACGAATTTTGAGCCAAAAGTAAGTCACTGCACGTCTGTCAATGAGAACCTAAAAGTACAGTAACCCGAGACAATAATCAAAGGAGGTAGCCCTTAAAAGGGCTGTTGGTGCCAGAAATAGGCCTGCCATTCAAGCTTTCTATCCGTGCTAGTGGCTCGGGCATCCTTGTACACCTTCCTCGTCGACCCAGAGCCTACTTTGTAGGGCCACTCCCCTCGACATTAGCAGCCGGTCTGCAGTACAAGTTTCGTAATTTTGCGCCATCCAAAGACTTCAAATCTTCTGCCGATGCCCTGTGCCTTCTCAGCGACGGGAAGTGAGAAGCGACGTTAGATACGGGATATACCGTAAGTTACCGACGATGATACTGGATGAAAAAAAAACATTAAACATGTTTTGGTTTGCAAACAAACATTAATTACATATAAATAATTAAGATGCCGACGTTAAGAATCAATTTTGAAATATCGTTGAAACATTATTTTAACGGGAATAATTTGTAAAATGTCGGCGATGTTTATGACTGAATTCATTAAAATGACATCTATTATTTAATATAAATCAATTATAACTTTTCAAGTTTAGATTAAAAGGTAGTTCCCATGGTAAAATTAAATAACATTTATATTGTTGACAATTCCGAACAAGTACCGATTGTTTGTAAGCATACTATTTATAATACATGTAATAACGTTTCTTTTCTTGCCAACCGAGCATATTATCTATTGCGCTAGTAATCCGATACGGACGCACCTCTCAGGTCGCGGTCAATGGATGCAATGAAAGATATATGCCATGTGTTCTAAAAACGGTTTTAATTGCATCTATGTGTAATTAAAACTAAATCTATAGATAATAAACAATATTCTGCTGATATTAGGTAAATCCTTCATTTATACATAATATTATCAAATTCCAGTTCAGCTTCTGTCATAAATGTCGCTCGGTG